GTGTCATAATTTGGATTTCCGCCCGCCCGACCCGATCCGCCCGTTAGGGTCCGCCCGCCCGACCCGATCCGCCCGTTAGGGTTACGCGTGCGTGTTGCTTCGAGCACGCGTCTTGCTTTACTGTCCCGACCGCCCGACCCGCTCGCCCGTTAAGGTCCGCATCCGATCCGACTCGCCCGTTACGGTTACGCGTGTCCGCTCGATCCGACCCGCCCGTTAGTCTCCGCCCGATCCGATTCGCCCGTTAGGGTTCCGCGTGAGTGTTACTTCGAGATCGCGCCCGAGTTGTGAGGATGTCTCGGGCGCCGGCACTCGAGCGGGTGTCTCGAGCGGCGGCGCACGAGTTGCAAGCATGTTTCAAGCGGCAAGCGCTCTCGAGGTATTCGAACTATTCGGGCGTTTCGCGCTTCTCGGACTTTTCGGGCTATTCGGGCTTTTCGGGCTTTTCGGGCTTTTATGGTTTTTCTGGCTTTTCTGGTGACCCGGGCGCCCATTCGGGCTGTTTGGGCTACTCGGGCTACTCTGGCCAGAGCTGCGAGGATGTCTCGAGCGGCGGCGCCCGAGTTGCGAGGATGTTTCGAGCGGTGGGTTTTTCTAGCTTTTCGGGCTTTTCGGGCTTTTCGGGTCAACCCGGGACTTTTTCGGGCTTTTCGGGCTTTTCGGGTCAACCCGGCATATTTTCTGGCTCTTCGGGCTTTTCGGGCTTTTCGGGTCAACCTAGTTACAGCCCCCCCTCGCCGACGCAGTCTTCGGGCGGGTATCAAGGGTGTGGGGAATTCTTTTTGAAGGACACGCGGGCAAGTAAGAGCGAACAGTCTTATAATAATTGTTCGGCCAATGTTGTTGTTGTTGTTGTTGTTGTTGTTGTAGTTGTTGTTGTAGTTGTTGTTGTTGTTGTTGTTGTTGTTGTTGAATTCGCATGTCTGAAGAATTTTTATTGTTGACCCCCCGTCCAGTGCACATTGTTCTTTCCGAGTGAAGTGCCCTTCCCCGGGCTCGCACCCTGTTTTTTTTTAAGCAGGGAAAGTCTTGAGGGTCAAACTGCGTTGTTGGCCCCCGGTTTACAGCAACTCCGGCTCCCGCCTGATACTTCCTCACGATGTATTGAAGAATCGCGCTCTCGCTTTGGATTTCCTCGCAATTTACCACCGGATCGCGGCTCCCGCCTGATACTTCTTCACGATGTATTGAAGAATCGCGCTCTCGCTTAGGACTTCCTCGCAACTTACCACCGAATCGCAGCTCTCGCCTGATACTTCTTTACATTTTTTCAGATGCCGCACCTCGACACGCAGGAATCGCGCTCCCGCTACATGTTGCCTGGCGGTTCAAGCAGAATTTATGCTTCAACGACCCGCCTGCTCGACCCGCCCGTCGGGGCCTGCCCGCCCGACCAGCCCGTTAGGGACTGCAGTCGCCGCTCGCTGCCCTTCGCCCGCCTTCGATGCCCCTCGCTGCCCGTACTGGTTCCCCGGTCGCCTTCGCTCGCTGCCCTTCGTGGCCCCGTTGCTTCCATCTCCTGTTCTCCTCCTCTACCTTGGCCCCTTGCTCATCCTCGCTTTCCATCTGCCGTTCTGTCGTTCCCTTTCCGCGCTGGGACCTGGCGCAGTCCGTGGGCGTCGGGGGCCCAGCGCGTAAAAAAAAGGCCTGGTTCGGCCGGGTCTCGGGGTCGGCTGGGCTTCGGGTCCGCATGCTCCTCGTCCTCTGCGCGCTCTCTCTCTCTCTCTCTCTCTCTCTCTCTCTCTCTCTTTTTGCTTTTTGTCCTCTCTCTCTCTCTCTTTATCAGTTTTTTTTTTTTTTTTTTTTTTTTTTTTTTTCTTTTTTTTTTTCTCTCTCTCTCTCTCTCACTCTCTCTCCCTCTGTTTCTCCCTCTCTCTCTCTCTTTCTCTCTCTCTCTCTCTCTCCCTCTCTCTCTCTCTCTCTTTCTTCTCTCTCTCTCTCTCTCCTTTCGCAGCTGTCCCTCCCGCCCCTCCGTCCCTCCCTGCTCCCTCCCCCCCCTCCCTCCCTCCCTCCCTCCTCCTATCGTCATTGTTGTCGTCGTCGTCGTCCCTGGCCGCCCCCCTCGGGGCCCGCCTGCCGCTTGCAGCCCGGCACTCCGACCCTTCAGCCAGCCAGGTCGATAATCCGTGCGACTGCCTCGCCGCCTGCCGAGGGCCAGCCTGTCGGCCCTTCAGCCCCCGCCCTCCTCCCTCTCCTCCTTCCCTTCCTCCCTCCTTCCCTCCTTCCCTCCCTTCCTCCTCTTCCTCCTCCTCCTCTTCCTCCTCCTCCCTCTTCCTCTTCCTCCTCCTCCCTCCTCTCGTCGTGGTCGTCGTCGTCGTCGTGGTGAGCCCGCTGTCTGTCCATCTTGGGGTCGGGTTGCCGCGGGCTGGTGTGTGCATCGCCAGCGTTGCCGCTGGCCAAGCCGACGGTCCGCCGCTTGCCGGGGCCCTGTTTGCCGGCCTTTGAGACGCGCGTGTTCCGCTGGCCTAGGTTCTTCTGCAGGCTTCGAATGAAGGCCTCC